ACCAGAGCCGTGGCAAGTTCGTCTCGCTCTTCTACACGGTGCTCACGCCGGCCCTCAACCCCCTCATCTACACCCTGAGGAATAAGGAGGTGAAGGGGGCCGCCAGGAGGCTCCTGGGGGACCTGAGGAGGGGGACGGCCAGGCCGTGAGGAGGTGGACCACAGAGCCAGCCCAGGACCCAAGGATGGAAACGTCCATGGGAGGGTCAGTCCATGCTGCCCTTAGGCTCCCCTCTGCTGTGAGGGAATCTACAAGGCTCCATGGTTACTGGGTGAAGTCCGTCCTCGCGTCAGAAATGCCACGCTTCACGAGGGATGTGTCTTTCTCGTTACCTAGTGGTTGGAACCAAGCCCAATGTCACAGAGTGGATTCTGACTTCTGATGACCTATGTACAAGGAGACTTCATAAAATTCATAAAACATGGAATGGAAAGATAATGGAATTTCCCCCCAAGAACTTTTGGAAGCCCTCTAGTGAGAAAGAGCTATTCCACAGGATGTTCTTGGCCGTGATGTTTGCCGAGGAAGAGGGAGGATTTCAACCGCCAGCTTTTAGATCAGCAGCTGATCCTTGCTTGTACCACCCAAGCTATATAAACCTTATCCAGATAAACATCAAGGTCTGGGGAAGAGAAAAATGTACCCACACCCCCTCCCCAACCTGTTTTCTGCTAGACTGCAGAGGGAGGAGGTGGGCTACTGAGGGGCACTTCCCCATCCTTGGGCAACACAGTAACTGCCCTTCAAGACTTCTAATGCTGATTAAATTATGTGTAACTGGATGTTATCTTTACCTTGTCCCAGTGGGATGCAAGAGGTATGGTCTCTCAAGTTGACAAAGAGCTTTAGTTTGTTTGTTTTTTAATGTAAGGAACCTTGCCGGAGACTGTGCAAGAACAGGACTCAAGAGCTCTTTCTCCAGCAAACTGAGACATAATGGCAACTTAGCCAGATGACCAGTGCTCACCAGAGGGCACTTGACTCATAAGTGTGACATGCCTGGTGGTCGTGCTGTGTTGGGTGAAGGTAGGAAACTCTCCCATAGGAAGTGGTTCATACACCAGTTTTGAAGAAGGCTGGAAAGAGTCGGAAAGGAGGGCAGGGCTCAGGTTCTAGGAAGAGCCAGCTTGCAAGTGATTAGTAGCAAGACATGAGTCAGAGACTATGAGAGAGAGGATAAATGGATGGTGGGGGGATAAAGGCGGTCTTGTGTTCCCAAGAAGAAGTTGTAAAGGAAGCAGAGAGGAAAATTCTCCATCAGCAAGAACTTGGGCAGAGTACGGGGGTCAGCCCAGAAGTCAACCCCATCCCTTTCTTATCCAGCTGATACCCCCAATCAAAAGAAGACTTGCTAGACACTAAAGACAGAAACTGGTGTACTATCCCTCACCTTTTAGAAAGACCATTTCTACCTGGATTGTCTCCCCCCAAGGAGCCCACACCAGAGAGAGAAACAGTAGTTCTAGATCCCCCTGGAAACTCTCTCCCTGCCCACTACCATGCCCATAGAAAAGAAAGACTTAATTGGGTGTGGGACATGGATGGTAGAGAGGGTCACAGTGCCAGATTTCATGTCACACCAAATACCCTTACACAAAAAGCAAAGCTGTGTAATTAACTTTAAAAAAATTATTTATTGGTTAGAATATGATCATGTCACAATAATTAATTCACTGAAAATAAGTAATTTCACTCTTCTTTTCTATAGCTGGAAATTCAGTTTGGCTCCAGCTATTGGGTAATATTATAGATGAGACAGGAAACATAGAAAATAGTGACACTTGCATGCCAACCTAAGCCTTACTATCTCAATGGATAGGCAAGGAAATAGAGGACATTTTCTACAGATCAGAATTGGCTTTAAGTGCTGCCTACCATATCCCTTAGCAGTTCATTTTCCATTCTCAGGAACACATGATACACAATCCAGACAATCAACCGAGTTAAACTCAAAGAGGCCAAGTTTGGAAAAATATTCCCTCCCCATCTTATCCCAAATCTTACTTTTCTATTTATTCCCTTCCCACTAGTTTTTCACAATCGTCAAAGGATGTGATTCGTGCATAAAGAGATACGCTCTTTTGCGCTTGGTACCACCCCATCCCTAGAGCAGTCACCCGGAATGGCAGCGAAGAGTCAGGAAAAGGAAATTGTCCTTTCTGATGTCATAATCTGCCATCTTCTTCCCGTCTGCCAGGATCTTTCCATTGCAGTTCACGGTCTGGTCCTCTGGGGTTGTACCAGTCTTCATCTCGATCATCTTTTTCACCTGGGCCACAGAGTAGGACCTCCTCACCAGCAGGCGATGCTTCCGCCCATCATCATCTAGGTCTTTCAGGACCAGGGGCAGCTCCTCATCAGTGGGCTTCACCACCTTCAGGGTGAGATGAATGGTCTGCTCTTTGTCAATGCCGTAAGAGGAAAGGCTTCTCTCAGGCTTTAGGGTTTTAGACCCCAGCAGGAGGACCTGGTCCTGGACGTGAACCTTGGTCTTGGATCGGATATGTTCGTTGATCTTCTTTACTTTGTCAGTCTGGTTGGCAGTGAAGGTCATCGATTCCCATTGCTCAGAATGAACATTCACCTGAACAGGGCAACGAGAATCCAACAACAATGCCTTAATGGCTGCCTCCCCCACACCTCCCCCACCCCCTCTCTGCCCACCTGACTGACTCCTGTCCTTCCCCAGCCTGTCAGGTCCCCTCACTTCTTTGCCCCAATCTGAGTCCTTCACTGACTTGGACCTTCTTCATTTGGAATTGCCTGATTATAATCCAGACAAGAAAACAAGTCTCCTTCCATCATAGACATAACTTGTTTTCCATTCTAAAATAGTTAATAATGCCCATTTCTATTTACCTGCCTCCTTTCCAGATAAACTTGCCAAGTGTCAATAAGTTAATCCAACTAAAAGAGCTTCAAAAGGTGTACATTAGACTCAAAAATTACCTCCTAAAGAGAGTTTCCAAAACTTGACAGACTCATTGGATATTCTCTTGGAAGGAAACTCTGGTTAGGACCCATCATCTCAGCATGATCCATTTCCTTTAGATCGTCCGATGCTTTATCACGACAATGCATGTATTACAGCGGCACTATGTCCAGTGTTACTTGTGAGTCTGTTTCATGCTTTTGTATCTGCCTCTTGTGCAATATAATCACCTTTAATGTGATCAATTCTCACTCACAGAAAGTGGGAACTACATTCAAATCTTACTTCAATCACTGGAACATTCTTAAAGATGAGGACGTTTACCCCCGTGCTGCTGCTTGACAGCCAGGAAGATGACCCTTGGGGCCCCTTCAAAAATAGCTTCTCAAAATGGGATACATTGTGAAGATTGTAAGCAATGATGTGACACAGCTGTGTATGAATGGAAAATGGATTTTCTCTGTGAACCTTCACAAGAAAAAGTTAAATATACATATATCTTCCCAGCCCGGGAGTCACTGATACTGTTTGACATTCACTAAAATGTCACTCCTCTGTATTAAACATGACCCTCATCCCAGATTCTCCTTATAATGCAACCATTCATATGTAGAGTAATGTATTATGTCATCAACAACTTAAAATAAATGAATTTGGTAAAGCCCTTTGCAGAAGAGGGAGCACCTTACTTTTAAAAGCTCTAGATTCCTAAATGGGGCTCAATACGTAATTTTAAAGCTTAACAGCCCCAATAAGCACCTCCACTCCCTACAATTTACCCTGATGAGTGGCCAGCATCCAAGTTAGGACCCATCATCTGGTGTAAAACAGAACTCAAGATGTGAAGGACCTGATCCTCTCCCTACTACCTTTCTTCCCACAGTGCAACCCCCCTCCCTCTCTTTCAAGATGCCTCCCCATCACCCTGTCTTCCCAAGCACTACCACCTGCCCACCTCCTGAGATCTTTCTGCAACTCTTGGGGACACTCCTTCTTTCCCATCCCCTTGATCAAATCCTGACTTACACAGAGGCAGGGTGCGTTGGGAGCCATCACGGTAGCAGCCAGGAGAGCAGAAATATGAAAGTGAGAAAAGGGACCTTAAACCCAGCTTATATAGAAGCTGAGCTGGAAATCCCTGGACTGGATGTCTTTCTGTGCCCTTTGTTCTCAAACATTCTCAGAAAGCACTTTCACTTTTGGTTGGTGGAGTGGTGTTAATTAATAAACCAAGAATACTTTCTGATACGGCACAGCTCCCCTCAGCTGACGTATTTTCCTTCAAAATATGGGATAGTCCTTTATGACCCTAATTTTTCTCTGATGAACATCCCTATATCCCCATTTCCAATCCTAATCTATGAACCATCAGCCCTGATCCTCACTAGCATGAAGACCTTTTATGCTCAGTGATGTTACTCGGATGCTTTCTTGTGTCATCCATCATTCTAAGAGCAAAGGAGGCCAGGAGAGGACAGTCAGGGTTTCTGTGGAGTAATGTGATTTGTGAGCAGCCCTGATCCTCACTAGCATGAAGACCTTTTATGCTCAGTGATGTTACTCGGATGCTTTCTTGTGTCATCCATCTTTCTAAGAGCAAAGGAGGCCAGGAGAGGACAGTCAGGGTTTCTGTGGAGTAATGTGATTTGTGAGCGGCCTATATACAGTGGAATGTCAGAATGTGAAACATGTTTTCAGAGGATATAGGGTAAAGAACCCCAGACTGAGAAGAGACAGGAGTTCAAGTCCTAGGGGTACCACCTGGTATATAACCTTGAACAAGTTTGTTTACCTCCTTAACTGCTGGTTTCCTAGTCTGTGAAATGAGATTATGGAACAGGGTCCCTAAAAAGATTCCAGGCTTGTGTTATTCCGGGTTGACTAGAGAAGCAAATCCATGGACACACATATGTGTATAAGAAAGAGATTTATATAAAGAGTAATTGAATATTGAGAAAACATCCCAGCTCAGTCCAGATCAAGTCCATAAGTCCAATATTAGCCCATATGCCCGATGCCATTCTATAAAGTCCTCTTCAGACTCACGCAACACATGCAATGATGCCGAATGCAGGGAGATCACAGACCAGTGGGTGGGAAGTCTTATAGATCCAGTGCCTGTGGAAGCATCTCAGCGATGGTGTGGGTCTCCATGTGGCTCCTCCAGCTCCAGGGTCCTGGCTCCATTGGGGTAGCTCCATGTGCCTTGTCAGCAGAAATGTCAAGGAGAGTGTGGGTCTAGCCTCCAGTGAGCTATTTATCTCCTTCATGTCTCCAAATGAGGTAATCAAACAGATACCTGATTAACAGGCTAAACTCAACCCCTTTACTCTTAACAGTCGCAAGTTGACACCACATGACGTAACTGCCACAAGGCTCAAAATATCTTTGTGTATAAAATATCCTTTACATGCGTTCTACATGATAGCAATGCTATTCACATCCCTGGCCTGTGGTCAGAGGGGATTCACCAGGAGCTTAATCCACGTGTACTTCCCACTTCATTTTTTGTTCAGTTTATAATTTAGCACCCTATCATGTGATCTCCCTTGTGATCCATTGAAATTTATTCTGGTTTTTATCATTTGCTGTTTTCTTTTCTGTTGAGGTTGTTATCTTTTTTACTTTCTATTATTCAGTGTTGTTTTAATGTTTTTCTATATATGAAGCACAGGATGGGTAAATATATAGAGACAGTACCTAGATTAATGTTTCTTTGAAGTATGGCAGCAGAGGTTGGGGGGAAATGAGAAGCTAATGATGATGACTCAAGAATAAATACAGTACTCTGAAACTAACTGATGGTGGTGATGATGGTACAACTGTTCTTGATGTGGTTGAACTATTGAAATTGTCTGATATGTGAATTACATGCCAATAAATTATTGGGAATTATGATACAGAAAAACTGAGGAGTCAGGGGAGATGTTCTTTTAAAAGGCTTTAGAATCCTGTGATTTGAGCGCTCCAACACACTCCCTGTCTTATCCCAGGCCCTACAAACCAGTCCTACCACTTGAAAACCACCCAAAGTCAAAAGCCAAATGCTGATTCCCACCTTCCTCACACCAAGCACAAGCCAGCACAATCATCACATCCATTCTCACAGCATAGGCACTCTATTTCCCCATCTTTCGCCCAGGACTGTCCACACTGCTGTGGTCAGAGAAGGGGGTGGTGACATTCAGACTGAGGCTCCAGAAGAAGTGTATTAGCTCTGCCCTTGGGAATTTGTCCCATCACTGTGATTCCACATTCCAAACTAGTGACTTCCCTCTCCCAGACTCTCAAAACATTGCCACAAAACCACTGTTTGGTTGTGTTTTGGTTTTCATTTTTCATATTTGTTGAAAAGTGTTTCACGTCGGACAGGGCAAGATATGACAAAATACCAATTTATAAACTATCAAGGGCTCATGGGGGAGGGGGGAGCGGGGAGGGAGGGGAAAAATGAGGACCTAATGTCGGGGGTTTAAGAGGAGAGAAAATGTTTTGAGAATGATGTAAAAATGCGCTTTATACAATTGATGTTTGTATGGACTGCGATGACAGTTGTATGAGCCCCTAATAAAATGTTTTTTAAAAAAATTGTTTCAAACATTTTTTTCTAAGTAAAAAGCCTATAACAATGTCAACTAGCATCTCTGTGTGTTTTCACTAGCCATATTGTACCTTTACTCACTGATAGGGCTGACAATCTCATTTTATTCTAAGCATTTCCATGCTGAAGGACTTAGGTTTATAGCGGTGTCTGTGTAAAATGATGGGGTCCAAGCATTCATTCTAGTATTTCAATGCTCCAAAAAGAAATCATGGACTGCTTAAAGGACAAACCAATCTGTCTTGGAGGAAGAACGGCCAGAGCACTCCTTGCAAGCAAGGACCTTACATACTTTGGACATGCTGTCAGGAGAAACCATTCCCTGGAGAAGGACATACTGCTTGGAAAAGTGGAGAGACAGCGAAAGAGAGGAATGAGATGGATTGACATCATGGCTGCAGCCATGAGCTCCAGCACAGGAAAAATTGTGAGGATGGCGCAGGACCATGCAGTGTTATGTTCTGTTGTGCATATGGTCACTGTGGGTCATAGCTGATTTGGTGGCACTTAACTACAATAACAACAAATCAGTACAGCGTGAGCAGACACAGCCTCAACTTTCTCCCTTGGAGCACTTGGTGAATTTGAACTGCCACAACCTTGGCGTTAGTAATCCCATGTCTAACCCGCAGTTCCACCAGGACTTCTTACTGTGTCAAAATCACAATATAAACAGGTAGCTTATTTTAAGTGTTTGTTATATAATCAGTTAATACGACTGAAAAATCTGGTCCTTATATAGGTGTATTTTGTGAGGAAACATACTTTTGCAAACATAGGATGCATGTGAAGAGTAAAGATTACCTGGTGGAGTAGACTGGAAACTATTAGGTCTTGCTATTCTTGGGCTAGTTCTCCGAGCTCCTGTAGTCCCAAGTGTGTTTCAACCAAGATTAAAGGATTATGCCTTTGACGGCTACCAACAGAGACAGGTGCCCTGAATCACTGGTCCAATAAGATTTCAAGATTCCGAAGCATCATCAGTGACTAAGCAGGAAATGCCAGCTCAGGTTGAGGAGGATAGGGAAACAAAACACCTTGTAGCAGGGGAGCTGTGGGGGAAGGGACTTGAAAGCGAGAAAGGAAAAGCTATGTAAACAGCTTCAGATTACTCAATAAGCAAGGTAAATAAATGTTTACTTGTGCTCAATATTGAGTGAGCAATTTCACCTTTTTTTTTTTTTTTTTAACCACATCAAAGATTCTGCTTCTAATTTGCTGGCATCTCACGATACTGACCCATTGGTAGAGAATTAGACCTCTTTTCAATTTTACCATCCCTGACAGGATCAGAGTGCCCAATAGGCAAGGTCAACACAGACATACTTACTAATCCCTAGTCAATAATTCCTCAAGTTTTTCTCCAGCCTGGTCTAAAGGTTGGTAGGATTAATCAAGAGTGCCTGATAACACATAACTCCCATCATCCAACCCTAAACCAGGTTCTTCAGACTGCCCGGGTCCCCCAGGATCACAACAGTTGGGGCAAAGCCAAGAGTGGACCCCTGAAGTCTCCATGCCCAGGCAAAGTCTGGAGATTGGTCAGTGATCCCTTCTGGTCAATTAAAGAAGCCCTCCCTCCCTCTTACAAGCTTTACAGATCAGGAATAGAAGCCTCCACACCAAACTCTCCAGCATCATTTGAACTCTGACTGACCAGACACTGGGTGATAACAGTGAGTCGCCCACAGGAACGGGGGGTTTTCATAGGCTAAAACTAGGACAGCCCTTCCCAAAGAGCATGTGGATTCTGAGAATCAGAGCCCTTTCAAGGAATATGCAAAACAAATCTCTAATCTCTTTTACAGCAGTTGATTCATTTCTGACTCAGGTTATTTACATTTCCTTCTTTGACTCTGTTAGATTTGCCATTGGTTTGTTACCTTTTTTAATCTATTCAAAGAACCAACCTCTTGTCTTGTTGGGGGTTGTTGCTGTTTGGGGTTTTTTGTATTGTTTTTCTGCTTTCTGTTTTATCTACTTCTGCTCTAACCTTTTAAACTTCTTTTCTTCTGGTGGCTGTAGGCTTATTTTGCTGCTGCTTTTTCTAATTGGTGGAGAAGTTGAGTTTAGGTGTTGACTTGGATTCTTTTCCTCTTGTGATGTGTGCTATTACTGCTCTCTGACGCTGCTTTCGCTCTGTTGCCAAGGTTTGGGTATGCTATGTTTTCATTCTCGTTTGATTCAAGGAATTCCCTTATTTCTTTCATGATCCAAAGTTTTAATCATGGTAGTACTAAATGTTCATGTATTTGATTTCCCAATCCCATTGATCTTCCTACTGTTGATTTCTAATTGCAATCTGAGAAGATGCCTTGTAATATCTTGAAGTTTTAAAATTTATTGAAGCCTCTTTTTTAACCTAACATATATGTTTCCTCTATCTATCTACTTTGTAACTTTGTTACAAATTGATATCCCTAGTACCCTATTTTCAGTCTTATGTTTGTTTTACTTTGTATACTTCTAGATCTGGTTTGATGTCTGGGTGGTATTATCA